AGTAGTTAAAATAACTTAGTTAAATAAATATAAATTATAACATTCAGTGTAAATTTTTATTAATAAATTCATATTTGTAATATTTTAAATTTTATTATATTTGTGAAGTTTATATATATATAACTTTATTGCTACATATTAAAATAATAAAAAAACTAAACAAAGTGATATAAAATATATATATAAATAAATATAATGATTTTACTGAATATAAAAAGCAATAAATTTTTTATAAAATGATTATAATTGTGGTTGTTTAAATAAAATTTAAAAGAAAAATTTGTAAAAATGTAAGAAATTTTTTAAGCTTTATCTAAATTAGAACAAAATATATTTTTAATAACTTAACTTAAAGTTATGAATAATGAAATAATAAGAAATAGTAAACGTCTTAAAAAAAAATTAGATTTAATAAAAGAATATTTTATTATTAGAATCATAATACACTACTTTATCAGAAAACATATCTTAATATTAATTAGATTTACAGTCAACTCTTATTATAATGAACTCTATGTTCTAGACCTCAACTTTGCTAGAAGGCTATAGTGAAAAGTTTAAGAGATTTGATTGGCCAATTTGCTATAACAAGGGTATTTTTATTAGATTTATTCAAAAAATTTGTTATATTAAGAGTTCGCTATATCAAGAGTTGACTGTATTTTGAAAATATAAGAAAATATTTTATAAATAATGGACTTATTTCAAAAATTTATGATAATGTGAAAAGAAAGTTACAATGAAAAACCAAAATGATAATAGATAAAAATATTATAGAAGTAATTAAGAATTTTCTAGAAAATTATGTTAAAGTTTATAGATTATCAAGTTCTAGTAGAAATGTTAGCTGAATTACCTAATCATACTAATAGAAACTAATTAAAAATCAGTTTATTACAACTTTCTTGCAGGTCTTGAATGAGATAGTATGTTAAACTTATTAAAATATAATGCATTTCATAAGTTATAACATTAATTAATATTTTATTTTCAAATTATGAGTCTAAGAACAGATTTATATGAAATGTGTCAACATTTTTAGAATAGCTTATAGTATAATACTCATAAGAAAGAAAAAGCAAAAGATTTACTAATAAAATATAAGAATATCTAGCTAAAGTTAAATTAAAGAGAAATTATTATAACTGAAATATAAAATAAATAATAGAATTAAAGCTCTAAACAGTTCAGTTTAATCTAGATTAGAAGCTAATCTGAATCTGAATTGAAAATTTTAATTCAGTTTGGTTCAGTTTATTAACTTTAAAAATATTAATCCAAATCTGAACTGAACCGTAGACCAGTAAAATCTGAACTGAACTAAAATTTTCAGATTAATCTGAAATTTCAGTATGATTATATACGAATCTTGAAGAGAATCTGCAATATATATACGAAACTCTTAGAGAATCTAAAACTTATTGTGATTCTCTAAGAGAATTTGCAAATTTTTGCAATTCTCAAAGAATTTCGCAATAGAATTGCGATTCTTTAAGAGTTTCACAAAAGAATTACAATCCTCAAAGAGAATTCGCAAATTTTTGTAATTCTCTAAGAGTTTCGCAAAAGAATTGCGATCCTCAAAGAGAATTCGCAAATTTTTGCAATTCTTCAAAAGTTTTGCAATATTTTTGCAATCCTCGAAGAGAATTTCGCATATAAATTGCAGATTCTCTTTGAGAATTGCATATATTTGAAATGAACTTTCAGATTAATCTAAAATTTTTCAGTTTAGTTTAGATTTTTTTCAGTTCGAATTGAATTATAATCTGAAAAAAATCTGAATTGAACTGAAAATTTTCAGATTTATTTTTTTGCAATCTAAAACTGATCTGAACTGATCTGAATTAAAAAATCTCCAGATTAATCTAAATTGTTTAGAGCTTTAAATAGAATAGATAAATAAAAATTATTTTATGATAAAAAATGAAGTTAAATATTGCATTATTAATGCTATTTTTCATTACAGTTATAATTGAGAATAAAATATTCACATGTCCTATTCTGATCAACAGGTAAGTAAAATTTATTATCTCAGTTTATATAAAATGCATTTGTTTAGTATTCAAAATGAAGCAATATGTGAATAAATTAATTATATTTTTGATAAAGATGAAAAGTACTAATGATATACTAAGTATAATATTTGATAGAATTAAGAGATTGAATAAAGGTAAAAAAATATTTAAAAATTACTTATGATAATATCAATAATCAAAATAAAAATAATGCTACTATTAGATTTTACCTGTATTTAATAATTTGCAGTTATTATAAAAGTATTGAATTAAATTTCATGATTCCTGAATATACTAAATTTAAGTATAATAGTAATTTTAGATTAATCAAGAAACTATATAATTAACTCTTAATATAGCAAATTTTTAATATAACGAATATTTTGAATAAATATAATAAAATACTTTTATTATAATGAATTGATCAATCAAATCTCTTAAAATCTTCATTATAGCTTTATAACAAAGTTGAAGTTTAGGATATAAAGTTCATTATAACAAGAGTTGCTTATATTACAAAATGACTATAAATTATGTGAATCATATTGTTAAAGTTATGAAAAGATAATGTGCAGCTGTATTAAACAAAGCTAAATGTTATGATAATAGAAAAGGCTTTCAATACTTAGATTTTAATTTAATGTTAGAAATTTTCTTTAAAAAATTGAGTGATTTGTAAAAATATCAATATTTTTTATTTAAAGTGCTAATTTTGAAATCATTAAAGCTTAAATGATTACCATTGGTACTTACTGAATTTAATTTATTAAAAATTAGAAAAGCAAGTGTTTTTGAAATTACCAAAAAAATTAAATTATTTTCAATTCTAATACTAATCCCTTCTCATTTGGATTACAAAAAGTAAAAATTTTTTTATTATAATATCTGCTTATTATTAAAGATGAATTCTAAGATATAACTTATTCAAAACTAATAAACTATGTTAAGATGAATAAAATATTTAAAATAAATTTTAAAACATGAACTAGAAATAACTTAATTAGAAGAAATAGTTAAAAGCAAGAAATTGCAAATATTTATTAGTTTATTAGTTTTTGATTATTTTTATTATCTTTTAATTTTAATAAATATTGTTAACTGTTTTATTTTTAAAGTTTATAAAATATATTAAAGGATAAATAAAAAACATTATAGTAGACAAACAATTAATGAAATTAACTGATATACTAGTAAAATTAGTTGATAATATTCAAAAATCAAAAAATTATCTTTATGATAGTAAGTAATAAGAAGATTCTGAAAAAGCAATCTTTGAAGATAGTAAGTTAAAAATGATGATGGCACTTCTAAAATGAATAAAGTAAAAAAACTGTAATTTTGCTAGATAATCTTAAAAAGATTCAAGCCAAGTTAAAGATGAATAAAAAAATTTTAGTTAGAATTTAAGTAAAAATGATAATGAATTTTTAATTTATTTTGATGGCTGAAAGAAGGCTGAGAGATGATGATTCTATTGTTTATCAAATAGTTAATATTAAGAAAAAAAAATAAAAAAATTAATAAAATAATTAGAAGTTATCAGAACATTTAATTTTAAAGAGTAAATAGGAAATTAAAAGTAAAAAAGAAAGTTGTAATTACTGTTTTATCTAGTATTGTAAAGGAAAATAAGAAGTAAGATGAAAAGATCAAGAAAACTCAGAAAAAATAATAAACATCAAACAAAAGCAGAAGTTAAAACATACAAAAATAAAGTTCAGATCATAATTAATACTTTAAAAGTTGATTTGGCAGCTAGTCAATCTGATTATAGAATTTTAAAAGAATTGTTAATACAATTTATCAAGTTAATACTACTGTAACTATTAATAAATTAGGATCAATTATTATTATAGGTATTGATAAGCCTTATTCAGATAAAAAAATATACTCATTCTACTTATTTACAGAGGTAAATGAGAAAACTTTTTAAATAATTTGATAAAAAAAACTTTTTGATTTAATTGAAAAAAGTTTTCTGATGATGCTGATGAATTAATAACTAAAAAGACCTTTAAAAAAACTTTAAAAACAAGTATTAATCTAAAGACAATAGAAATTTTTTTTAAACATTTTGGTCTAAGTAATATAGATGCTACTTCTAGTAATAAAGTGATAAGTGATTATTCTATAGTTCATCTCAAAAGTCTTTTTATGAAAAAATCTACTTTATAAATTATCAAATATTATAATTACTCAGAGTTTGAAAGAATCTCATAAATATTTTTTATATTTTAGTGATATTTTATACTTTTTATGTATACTCTTTTTTATAAAAAAAACTGTTAATTTTTCTAAGGATATTGAATTTTTAAAAGCGGATAAAAATGTGTTACCTTTTACTAATAGCAATAATAATTTAACTTCTAAACATACTATATTTTGGTAAAGTAGGAAAGATAATACTTTGGATGGTAAAACTTATAAAACTTTACATCTTAAGTCTGTTTACCTATATGATAAGGCTTTTTATTCTACAAAATTATAATTCAGTTGAAATAATCTTAAAAAAAAAAGCATTTCTGAATTTTTTTTGGCAAATTTATTATAATCTAAAAGCAATTCAATTTATAGCACATAAGGAAGCTATACACAAATATAGAAATAATATTACAATAGTTTAAAAAAATGAAATCTCAGTTTATAATAATGAGTTATATGTTTGAAAAGTTAGTTTAAATACTGAACTTTTTGTGATGACCTATAGAGATTGTTTTAAGAAGATAGTTGATACTAATGTTAAAGTAACTGATAAAATTAGTACACTTAATAATGTTCAGCATGTTAATCTAAATATTTTTTAGAGTGATTGAGAAGAAGTTTTATATGATATTATTTTTAAAGCATTTGAGATTTTTCACACTTATAGAAAAGATGCAAAAGTAACAGATTATATAACTCTAAAAAATAATAATTTAGTAATTCCATATATAATTGAAATCACCAAAAAAGATTTTAATGATAGACAAAATTTGAGAAAGAATGAAAACTGAAGTTTGTGAAGGTAAGATAAATTTACTAAGCAATTGCAAGCAAATAAGTCGAATGAATTAAATAAGAGACTTGAAATTAATGGTCATGAAAATGCTAAATCAAAAGAATTAAAAGTTATCAATGATAGTATTAAAAGGCTTAAAAATAGTAATATTGAACAGTTAGAAACACAATTAGAATACCTTAGTAAAAAAGTAACTGATTTGGCTAATGCAACCAAACCAGCTGAAATGAAAGATATAACTGTTCAAGAGGTTTTAATGATGAAAAGTTTGTATTGGTTAGTGAAGGAACTAGCAAAAGAAACTGGTAAAACTTTAAATGCAAGATACGCTTAGTATGATAATAATCTAATGCAGTGGATAAATAATAGGAATGCTATGATAAAGACTTATGATATGTGAAAAAGGATGGGTGATGGTTTTGAAGAAAGATTAAACAAGTGGAATTAAGAAAAAAGGAGTAATCAAACTTAGAAACTATTAAGCAAGATCTAAAAAAAGGAGAAGAATTTGGTAATCTTTCTTCAGAAGAGAAAGCTGATTTAGCCTCGATTAGTAATTATTTAGAAACAGATTTACTTAGGGCAGACGATCTCGAAAATATCTTTGAAATTGATGTTGACATTTCTGAAAGTAAAGTTGAAGAATGAAGAAACTATGGTGACGAAAAATTTTTTAAAAAGGATAGTATAAAAGTTAAGGAAATTGCAGATTAATTACTGAACTAAGGACTTATCTAAGTGATAAAAGTGAAATCTTGGATTTTCCAAGTGATACTACCGATAAACAAGATAAATTAAATTATTACTTTACTCTTGACCCAGAATACGTTATTACTGCATTAGTTACTTATAATGTTAAACACAATGCAAATAATATAAAAAAAGAAGAACTTCTTACTGAAATGAAAGAAAAAAAAGATGGTGACAAACCATTGGATATTTTCCCGACTTTATGATGGCCAAATTCGTATTATTTTTAATAAAATACCCCGATTTAAATTTTTATATATTTAATTTTACCTCTGTCATGTGAAAAGCAATGATCTAATCTATCATTTAACAGGGAGCTTATTTAAAATAATCTATTGATCGGTCACTTGAAAATAGGTAACCAAAAATGGTGGCTTTAGATCTTTTGCACCATATAATAATTATTAAAATCTATATTTTATTTTTATTAACGTAAAGAAATTAATATTTTTTTTAAAGCTTGTAAACAAAATTGCATATTAAATACTTTGAGAAATAATATAATGTTTATTTTATCGGTTAATATTTATTTAATATGTTAACAATAAATAGAAAAGCAAAATAAAGGCTAATAAATTAAAAGATTTTTACATATCGATATGAGTTAAACTATTTGATAAAGATTATATGATAAAGTTTAAAAAAATTCGTATATCCATTTGGAAAAACATTTAACATAAATGTTATATATATACGAGCGATAATAATGAAAGATTTAAATATGCAGCTGAATGATTTCATTAAAAAATACAACAAAATAAAAAATTTAATACGAATTTAATTCATTACTACTGGAATATAAAGCCGCATTTATTGTCCATTTCTAATCGTCGTCAGCACATTTAGTATGAATTGTCAGCATATATTTTATACATTTTCCGTTATGTATAACAATGACTATTTCCAAAGATTCCCTTATTTACAAAAATTTTCTCAATTTATTTACTCTTTTTAAAATCTTTTCCGATCTTATTTTCTTTTAATCATGTCGAAGATAGATATCTTCAAACCTAACCTTGACAATTTCAAATTTGATTTTGAACAATTTATTCATACCGAGGCTATAATTCAGAAGAAAATTGAAAGATCACACGGTATGTATTCTATGGAATAGTTGAAAAGAACACAATTATTTTAATGTAATCTTATTGAAAGATACGATTATAACATTTATTAGAAACCATCAAACGACGACGAAACGCAAATGATATAGTGTGCAAACATTGGTTGATCGGATCATGTTTTCGCATTAATTGTACCTATTTGCATTCCTATGAGTTTGATAACATGCCGTATTGTCCAACCATGAAGAAATTTGGATCATGTAATAGAGATGTTTGTGTATTTTCTCATAGTTTAGGTGTTAATAGTAACAAATCTCAAAAAAAGTGTCGAGCTTATGAGCGTGGATTTTGTAAATATGGTAATTATTAGATTATTTGAAAATGAGTTGATCAGATTATTAATCTTAATACTTTATTTTATCGAAGGGCAAACTTGTAAATACAAACATATACGTCGTGTTTTGTGTGATCTTTACTTGTCAGGATTTTGTCCGCGGGGTTCAACATGTACAAATGCACAGTATGATTGTCATTTTCTTTTAATGCAATTAATTGTTTTAATTTTTAATTTTAATTTTTTTTCTTTACATTCTTGCTTTCTTAGTCCAAAGCATTTCACAAGTTCTTTCAAATCAAGACCTCATGTTCAAAGCAAATCTCAATATTATGGATGTAAGGAACAGTATGAATTAATAAAAGCTTGGGAATATAGAATAATGAAATTGCCTTATTAAAAGAATGGAATTTTCATGATTAATATTAAAAAAAAAATAGTCTCATAGATTAATTTTGAATTTTAAATTTTAAAAAGATAAATTTCTTTTACTGTATGATTAAAATTAGTTTATCGGTATTATAATATTAGAAAAAAATCTGCTTGCAAAATTTGCTTTGACTTTATTTGGTGAAACCGGATATTTATATTTTCGGTGATTTATTTATTTTTTGATTCATTTACCATACGACGAAGACCTTTAAAGCATTAGTGGCCATTAATGCAACACAATTTATATATAAGTTAAAAAGTAGTATGAAACGCCCGCACAAACCGCGCTTACCAAACTTTTTGTAAAATTATTACGCAAAAAAAAATATATTGAGTATTGATAATGTTAGGTTAAAAATCTTTCAAAATTTAAAAAAAAAATAAAAGTTTTATTCTTCAAGATGAATACATAAAAAAAAGTTATAGCCGTTTAAAATTTGAGAATTTTATATAACTGGCCCCAAATTTGAAACAAATCAAATCACGTGTATGAAATTTTATTGGTCAAAATTTTATGATAATTCGGGCCAAAATAAAATAATTAATGCCGGTCTAAATTATCATAATTAATTATACTCTGAATAAATTAAAATTTTTTTTTTTAGCAGATAACCTTTTATTTCACATTTAGTTCACATTTTTAAAATGCCATGCAAAACAAAAAGATATCAACAAATTAGCAAAATATCAATAAAAAAAGGCTATTATGTATTTTAAGTTTAAGTTATTTTAAAAAAAAACCATCATGAAAAGATTTTTAAACTAATAGAAACTGCTGCTGATAAAGAAATTACTAAAGAATAGATAGAAGATAAAGTAATTAAAGAATGATCATAAGATGAGGTTGTTGAATAATTATCAAAAGATAAAGCTGAATAAAATATGATTTTAAAGTATTTTAGAAAATAGAAAAAGTTTATTATTAAAATTTTTTATTAGTATGAAAATGCTATAAGTAGCATTAGAGTAGTATATGCCAAAGATTTAAAATTAATATTATAGAAAAAAAAATAAGAAAAAATTAGAATTAGAAAAGTATACTAAAAGGATAAAAAAAAAAATCAATAATATTTTCTAATCAGTTTTAGAAAATAATAAATTATCATATCTAATTATATTAAAAGATTTACATATTATAACTCAAACAATTTGTAATATGAAGATTATAAATATAATAGAAATAATCTACATAAGAAAGATATGTAATATAATAAATAATCTATAAGAAGTTAATATAATATAAAAGATCTATAAATTAATATTAACTAAGTCTAAACAAATTAATCAATAAAGAAGGATAAATCATTAACTATGATAATATAGTCAACTCTTAATATAGCAAACTCTTGATATAATGAATTTTTTGAACAAATATAATAAAAATACTCTTGCTATAATGAATTAGCTAATCAAATCTTTTAAAATCTTCATTATAGCCTTATAACAAAGTTGAGGTCTAGAACATAAATTTTGTTATAACAAGAGTTGATTGTATATAATATAAGCCTAAATTAAATATATTAAAAAAAAACTTAAAGAAAAAAAATTAAAGAAAAAAATATAGTAATAATAAAATAATAATTAGAACATTTTATGAAATTATTTAGCTATTAATTTCATTAATTATAAGATTTTTATAAAATAATTAAATAATAATTATCTCAATATAATATGAATATTAATCTTAGATGATAAAATTATTATATAATTATTCTGTAATAAGATAAGAAAATAGTACTAAGAAAACGGGAACCTATTGTTAAGTCTGGAACTTTATCTAAACTTTTATGTAATTGCAAGAGTCAATCAATATTAACTTAATTATTAAGCAGACGGATAATGAAACACCTTATGTAATCTTAAACCTATATATATATAATTCTTCACTTTATTTTGAACTAATAAAAATTTTATTATAAATAGTTTTAGAAAATTATCATATTAAAGCAACTTTTAAGATTGAAATTTTATAAGTATAAACTTGCAATTCTTAAAAAATCACACTTATTTATAAAATAATAAAATTTTTATTACAAAATAAACCTTTAAATGTATTCATTTTATTTGTTAATAATAAAGTAATTATTTATATATAAAACTCTTAAAAAAAATCTTATAATAAATAAAAGACTAATTCATTTATTAGTATTTATATAATCATTATATATATAAGAATATATTTCTAATTAATTTAAAGTATTTTGAGAATTAAATCAGTAAAAGTCTTCATATTTTCTGGCTTAAAAACTTAGATTGTAAATAAATACTGGAATAAAATGATTAAAAAAGTACAGTTCGCTCTCGATATAACAAAGTTAGTAGTTTAGCCAATCAGGCTTTTACTATAAAAAAATTCGTTAATATTATAATAAATTATTCAGTATAGTATAATAAATATTTGGTGTATCATATAATGAATTATCTATTATATTTCTATAATAAATTTTAAGGAGTCAAATTAAATTTTAAAGTAATTTTAAGTGTAGACCATATTCACATTACAATTTATTATTATTATTATTATAAAAATATTACGTATTATAATATATTATATGAATCAATTTACATTAATAAAACTATTAAAATTGGTTTACCTTGCAGAAAAAAAATGTTATTTTAAAGTTTTTTTTAGCTTTTTAATATTTTAGTTCCTTATGTTTAGAACTGAAAATTTTTTCTTCTTGTTCTAAATAGAGAATTATTTTATTATAATAATCGATAGCTTCATTATGAGTAATAGGTAATAAAAAATCTGAATCTTCTACTTTCTTCTCCTAATTATCATCATTGTTGAAAAGAACTATCTTTAAAATCTCTTCATTAGATATCATATCTGTTGTAATTTCTGAATCATCATATTGAATATATTCTTCTATAGTAAAAGGATTTTTAATATCAAGTTTATTGATTAATTCTTAGATTTTGTCTAATTCTTTTTTATATATTTTATAAACCTCTTTCTCAATATCAAAATCCATATCAATTTCATTACCATCATTTTTGGTAAAATGCTCACCTTTAACCAATAGTTTTTAATTGTAATTTATGTAACTGTATTTCATGTATGCATAACATACTTAATGCATTTTTTAACATTAATTTTAATAGGTTCAATACCATATTCATTATAGTTATCATAAATTTTAACTTTATTTCTTAATAATAATTTCTGATATTACATCTAATTATTAAAGAAACTATTTTATTAAAATATTATTATTATATATTAAAATTAAAAATATTAATAAATTAAAGTATCTTAAAACTATTAATAATCCCTTGATTGTATGATTGTAAATATGCTGTAGTGTTTAGAGAGAGATATTCAATAGTAATATTAGTAAGACATGTATTTTCATACAAAAAATAGGTTAGA